CTCTAAAGGGGCGCAAGTCCCTTCTCCCAGCCACCCCCCGGGGTCCCAAAAGAAGAACCGGGAATTTCTCTTTTTCAAAATCTTCCCACGATCGCCTTTGCTGCTGGGGTTAAACCCTGGCTCTATTTTTTACGCTAAAAACACCCTCCCACACTTTCTTCGTCTGTCCCGTCTTTTCCCCCCTCTTCCCATTTGGATCTTTTCCCGAACTTTTTGTTCGATCGTTGCCTTTGCTCCAGACTCTCCTCCACCACGATGCTGTGAACACAACTCCAAAGGGCCCAGGGGCGATTACCTCATCTTTTTTATATAGTTTTTACTGCTTCCTTTATTCCTAGAAATTGTATTGAAAAGCCACTGGATGGCGAAACGTCTACTACAAAAAAGAATCCAATGTTGCACATGTGTCTTAAATTTTATATTGTCGGTATTTTTTTACCTTTCTTGCACAACTTGTCAGACACTGCAACATCATGGAATCTTGGTTCAGAGGACATCTACAAGACCTTCTTCACGGCTGCTGCAACTAACCCATCTCTTTGGGAAGGGCCTAACTTCCACTGGGGAATCCCGCCTACCATGACCTGCCCTCGTCGCTGCCCGTCCCCATTCACTGACGCCTATAAAAAAGCGCCATCTTCTTGCCTTTGCTCCAGACTCTCCTCCACCACGATGCTGTGAACACTAACTCCAAGGCCGAGGGACTGATTACCTCATCTTTGTATATAGTTTTTACTGTCCCTTTCCCATTTTGTCCTAGAATCGTATTGATAAAGCCACTGATGGCGAAACGTCTACTACAATAAAGATATCCAGATGTTGCACATGTGTCTTAAAATTTCAAATTGTCGGTATTTTAACCTTTCTTGCACAACTTGTCAACACTGCAACATCATGGAATCTTGGTTCAGAGGACATCTACAAGACCTTCTTCACGCTGCTGCAACTAACCCATCTCTTTGGGAAGGACCTACTTCCACTGGGGAATCCCGCCTACCAGTGACTGCCCTCGTCTGCTGCCCGTCCCATTCACTGACGCCATAAAAAGCGCCATCTTCTTGCCTTTGCTCCAGACTCTCCTCCACCACGATGCTGTGAACACTAACTCCAAGGGCCGAGGGACTGATTACCTCATCTTTTGTATATATTTTTACTGTCTTCCTATTATGTCCTAGAATCTGTATTGATAAAGCCACTGGGTGGGGAAACGTCTACTACAATAAAGATATCCAGATGTTGCACATGTGTCTTAACTTTTCATATTGTCGGTATTTTTATACCTTTCTTGCACAACTTGTCAGACACTGCAACATCATGGAATCTTGGTTCAGAGGACATCTACAAGACCTTCTTCACGGCTGCTGCAACTAACCCATCTCTTTGGGAGGACCTACTTCCACTGGGGAATCCCGCCTACCAGTGACTGCCCTCGTCTGCTGCCCGTCCCATTCACTGACGCCTATAAAAAGCGCCAGTCTTCTTGCCTTTGCTCCAGACTCTCCTCCACCACGATGCTGTGAACACTAACTCCAAGGCCGAGGGACTGATTACCTCATCTTTTGTATATAGTTCTACTGTCTTCCTATTATGTCCTAGAATCTGTATTGATAAAGCCACTGGATGGCGAAACGTCTACTACAATAAAGATATCCAGATGTTGCACATGTGTCTTAACTTTCAAATTTTTTCCTGGATAGAGGCATGGTTGACAAATAGGCAGCAGAGAGTTTGCATAAATGGGGAGAAATCAGAGTGGGGAAGCGTCACGAGCGGTGTTCCACAGGTTTCAATGTTGGGCCCCCTGCTGTTCACAATCTACATAAACGACATAGATGAGGGCATAAAGAGCGACATCGGCAAGTTTGCCGATGACACCAAAATAGGCCGTCGAATTCATTCTGACGAGGACATTCGAGCACTCCAGGAAGATTTGAATAGACTGATGCAGTGGTCGGAGAAGTGGCAGATGCAGTTTAATATAGACAAATGCATAGTTCTAAATGTTGGACAGGACAATAACCATGCCACATATAAACTAAATAATGTAGATCTTAATATTACGGATTGCGAAAAAGATTTAGGAGTTCTGGTTAGCAGTAATCTGAAACCAAGACAACAGTGCATAAGTGTTCGCAATAAAGCTAATAGAATCCTTGGCTTCATATCAAGAAGCATAAATAATAGGAGTCCTCAGGTTGTTCTTCAACTCTATTCATCCTTGGTTAGGCCTCATTTAGATTATGCTGCACAGTTTTGGTCACCGTATTACAGGATGGATATAAATTCTCTGGAAAATGTACAAAGGAGGATGACAAAGTTGATCCCATGTATCAGAAACCTTCCCTATGAGGGAAGGGCCCTGAATCTGCACTCTCTAGAAAGACGTAGAATTAGGGGGGATATGATTGAGGTGTATAAATGGAAGACAGGAATAAATAAAGGGGATGTAAATAGTGTGCTGAAAATATCTAGCCTAGACAGGACTCGCAGCAATGGTTTTAAGTTGGAAAAATTCAGATTCAGGAAGGATATAGGAAAGTACTGGTTTGGTAATAGAGTTGTGGATGAGTGGAACAAACTCCCGAGTACAGTTATAGAGGCCAGAACGTTGTGTAGCTTTAAAAATAGGTTGGATAAATACATGAGTGGATGTGGGTGGGTGTGAGTAGGACCTGATAGCTTGTGCTACCAGGTTGGTTGCCGTGTTCCTTCCTTAAGTCAATGTGACCTGACCTGACTAGGTTGGGTGCATTGGCTTTAGCCGGTAGGAGACTTGGACCTGCCTCGCATGGGCCAGTAGGCCTTCTGCAGTGTTCCTTCGTTCTTATGTTCTTATTGGCGCCAACACTGTTTGACAGTGTAGCCCCCAAGACACTTTCCCGTGCTACAACACTGACAGATGACAACTGCTGACTTGGAAAGCTTTCTATAATCTCCACTACCTAGCACAGCTCTATGGAGCTGTGTACTAACTCAGATTATTGCAAGCTCCGGATTTTTCTTCAATTTTATCGGTTAGCACCGATTACACTGATATATTTTATTTCCATTTTATAATTACTTCGGTTAAAAATAATTGTTTATATACTCCCTTTTTACGTAATAAATATATGCATATCCATACTTGGTTATTTTCTGTAAATATTTTTCTTTTGTTGTGTTTGTGGTAAGTGTTGTGTTACGGTTATCGTCTGCTGTGTGGAGGTTGTGGTGGTGGTAACCAGCACTGAAAAGTTTATGGTATGTGACGGTCATTGTTATATGGTGGTCACTGATAAGTCTAGACAATGGGTAATGATAAGTGGTGGTTGTGGTCAGTTCTGAGTACAGGGTTAGTCAATAGTGTTGTGTAGTGATCGGTATTTAGGGTAGTGGTGGTGGTCAGTGCTGTGTGGTAGTGGGTTATTTGGAGGTCATTGTTGAATGATGGTAGTGGGTTATATGGAGGTCATTGTTGAATGATGGTAGTGGTCAGTGTTGTGTGGTTGTCAGTGTTATGCGGGGGTGGGGGGTCATGGTCAGTTTGGTTGTGGGATGGTCAGTGTAGTGTGGTCGTAGCTGTGGTCAGTGTTGTGGTGGTCGGTGTTGTGTTGTTAGTGGTGATTATCAATGTTGTGGGGTAGTCATCAGCATTACTTTTGGAGTCAGTGAAGCATCAGTATCTGAGAGAACAGTGAAGGCCGGGCCACCACTTGGAAAAGGCCCGGGCCGGGAGAATACCGGCGAATCTTTAATAATAATAATAGAACAGTGAAGCACCAGGGATAATAAACACACACATCACAAGACAGATATTATCAGAATCATATTATAAATGACAAACAAAGTCAACAGTTCCCAAGTATTAAGATCCCAAGAAGTTGCAGTGTCTGACAGGATTGTAGATGAATGGTTCAAAGAACCGACATGTTAAATTAGACACATGTGCAACTCTTGGGTATCTTTATTGATGGACTGACCACATTGACTCAAGGTTGAGGGACTGATTACCTCATTCTCCTCCTGTTCTTCAAGTTTCTCCTATGTATGGACTGGTGAAGCCACTGTGTGGCGAAACGTTTCCTCAATAAAGATACCCACGAGTTGCACATGTGTCTAATTTAACAACATGTCGGTTCTTTGAACCATTCATCTACAATCCTGTCAGACATTGCAACTTCTTGGGATCTTAATACTTGGGAATTCTTCGCTTGCCTAACCCTTGGGCAAAACCAAAGTCAACAGTTTTATAAGACACATGTGCACACTTGGGTATGTTTATAGTTGGAACGTTTCACCTGCACATCAGGTACTAAACTGCTAACAGTCTAGCATGGTGTACTTCAACTATTAGGCTCGTTTAAATATATTATCAAAACCAGCTCTTGCACCTCACTTCTACCTCCAACATATTATATAGGTCTCAAGCCTCGTGCCTCAGCTGTAGCTAATTGGTTGTCCACTTTCATCATTGCTGAGAATGATCACCTCAATATTACCTATGTTCTTCAACTGTCTCCTGTGTTATTATCACCTGAATTCGATTGGAGAGATCTGCTGTTTTTGAAACTGAAATGTTGCACATGTTGACAGTCAATGATACATAGTTGAGAGGGATGTTAATCCAGGAAACAGCGTATTATATGATGGTGGTGAGCAGTGTTGTGTGTTGGTAATGTTGGTGATCAGTGCTGCACAGTAGTGTTAAAGTCTCTGCGAATCATCATTAGTAGCCTGGAGAGACCTGTGAATCGCTGAACACCCGGAGTGAAATAGAACCAAGACATGACCTGGCGGACATCATCAGTGTTACCGATGGGAGCAGTGGGCGAGGCCAGGCTACAGCGCCTGTACCACCATCCTCCACCACCATGATGGGCACCAGCACAACTTCCTGTGGGATGTAATATAACATTCATTACATCACATCATCCTTCCTTAGCATCATCTTACTCAGCTATGTAACTGCCTCCTACTGATTTAACTAAAATTTAAAACAAATATTTTATTTATGCATATAAGTGTTACATATATTTACTCACATTTCACAACCAAATTTAACATATAACAAATTAAACAATATTATTCATTACATATCACAGAAAAATATGTAAAATAACATTACTCAACAATATCATTGAACATATTGCATAACAATATTTTCTTTTATATTTTATTTAAAACACACATTACAATAAATAAATAAAAGTATACAGTGTCAAATATTTCACATACAAGAACAATTATGTCCTCATAATCAAAACACTGCAGGTGTTACATTGCCTTTAGAAAAATTCCTCTTCACATGACTCAGTACAACCCCCAACACCTGTGTGAACAACAACATTACACAATATTATACCCGACATCAATCAAATCATTTCAATTTACAATAATATGTCACCTAGTACACTGCACACACCTGATACATGTAAAATGTCTTTATACAAAAAAAAAGTAAAAACTGTGCAAGCAATACTAATTAAAAACAGTTCTCAATTACCCCTTCCTATCAGCAATATACACATTAAGTACATGTAATAAAATATGTTTGAGCAGTACACCCACAACCCCCCACAACCCCCCCACAATCCCCCCCCGTCACCCCAGATCATACCATTGTTCACTGAACACAGAAATGAATAACCAACATAATTTACACCTTGAACATAGTATCTTGTTCACAATAAAATATTTCCTCTTTAGTATAAGAAACATAGATGATGTCAACATGACAAATAATATTTAGAAAAAAGAACATAAGATTGAACTTAGTATTATGACTATAACTATAAACCGTTTATATAATTATGATTGCCGTCATCCATGAGAAATTACACATGATATAGTCACGGACACACATATTACATATACACATATGTATAAAAGTTGATTCTTAATATCACATGACTTATGAAAATTTATATTCACAGGAATTATATCAGTGTCATACATGCACATTAACATACATAAGATTATAAAAATACCGAATCAATTTATTAAGCCTCCTTGCATCCCCATGCCCAATGTACACATTAATTAAGCACATTCAATAACAAATATTTTTAGGTCATTTCAACTAACACCCCCCCCCCCCCCCATTTACCTCACATCATATTGGACAGCGTCAGACCGTTGTTCATTGAACACAGAGACAAATAACCATCATAATTTAACCCAAGGGCACAGTATTTTGATGACAAAAACATCTTTCCAATAGTGTAATATGCATACTGTTATGTGCACATTACAATTTGACATTAAGAATATTAACACATGGTTGAACTTATTATTATGACCAACATAAAACCCTGCTTATAGTTAAGAATGTCATCAGCCATGGTAACATTACTCCTGATATGTTCACAGACTCACTTTTAACATATACATATATGTACAAAAGTCGAAACATAATATCACATGACATATGATTGAACAATATGTCCACAGGATTTATAACAGTGCCCTACATGCCCGGTAACATATATAAGAATATAAAATTACCGAACCAATTTGGTAAGCTTCCTCGCTTCCCCGTGACCACCCATGATAAAACACATCTACATTTAAAGCTTTTCCCTATCAAGAGAGTTTTCTATCTAAAATTCATGATAGGAATACACTCACCCCCCCCCCCACCATCTGGCTGAGACCAATCCTATTCAACCATTACACCATTAATTCTCGCAACCTACGCACATTCATACCTCTATACTGAACTGGAAATTCTATATCCCATCTCCTTCCATACACGACCTCATTCTTACACTTTGTTTTATAAAAATGCCCAGCTAAAGCCCGTATTCGCGCTTCCCCCTCCACCTCCCTCATAGCCCACGATATAGTAATATAATCCACTACCAAATACATGACCGCCCTTCTCACACTATCACTCACTCCCTCTATGTACAAACTCAATGCTTTCAATACCATTAACCTACCTCCTCCAACCATATCCAAGACCCTACGAAACCACAGACGTACCCTTGCGATACCCTCACAAAAATACACCACATGATATGCAGTCTCCGCCTCCCGGCACAAACACATGTGGACTGCACAACGCTCAACTAATACAAACGTATTTTAGTGGGTAATATCCCATGTAAAAGCCTATACATAGTTTCCTACACCCTTGACTTTAAACATAACTTACGAAACGCACCCCAGATACCTGCCCAGTTATATAAAGGAAAGACACTCTCCCCCTCCATCACCTCATTACCCCTCACAGTCCTCCCCAAAACTCACACCAACACTTTTCCCGGTATGCTCACCCTCAATAAAAATCTCAACACACACATACACTCCTCCAGTTCCCTACCTCCCCACCACTGCCGCACATCATCCATAACCTCATTCACCCTTACACCCCGATCCCCACCCAACCATATATAACTATGTTTCACATACATGCTTTTCAGTCTACTACACAGTGGAATTAATCCTAATCCTCCCCTCCCCAATGATGTTGTCACAACTATCTGCTTAAGCCAATGATAACCATATCCCCAAATAAAACACATTACTTTCTTTTGGACCAACCTCACATCATTCTTCATCAATGGATAAACCACTGCCACATGCCACAATTTAGGTTAAATGATTGTATTTATAACTATGGCCCTCTGATGGATCGTCAGTCCACTTGTCCGTATTCCCCCCAATCTTCTTAATCATTCCTCATTGCTCTCGGGCCGTGTGGACAGGCTGCACAGTAGCTCCTGAATCAACTGGTTTTCTGCACAGTTTTCCTGTTTTGGAGTAATCAACATGGAGGATCGACATGGTCGCAGGGTGAACACTGTATGTGTTGAATTGGTTCGTGGCTCGCTTACAGGAACAACAATGCAGGTGTTACTGCCTACGATCATCGGTGAAGTTTATGGCATACCGAATGAAGAATTATATGGAGTGGCCATAAATGGGATTACAAGGATATTCATCAAGTTTAAAGAGGCGGGCTTCTATTCTAGCATCGTCAATAAATATCAAGAGAAATGGCTGGCTGTGAACACTATGGTGGAAGTATGCCTACATGATGTGTCAAGTTACATAACATGGGTGAAGGTCAGACATGTTCCATTTGAGGCAACGGAGCATGATGTGGTGGCAGTGTTCAGTAACTATGGAAAAATCCACTCAGCTGAGTTGGGGGTGTGGAAAAATGGACCTTGTGAGGGGCTGCCTGAGGGGTCATTGACGCTGAAAATGACTTTGAGGCAGTCAGCTCCGTCGTATGTCCTCCTGGATGTTTTCAGGACTCAGGTCTATGTGTACTACTCAGGACAGCAGAAGACTTGCAGATTATGTGGGTCTTTTGAACATATGGCAGCTCAATGCCATAAGAAAGCAGGAAGGAGGGACCAGTTACAATTGCTCCTACATCAGTGGCAAGGTGTGTATGCATTGGAGACAGGAGTACAACCAAACAAGACACCTTGCCGTTGGAGTGAAGAAGTCGATAGGGCAAAGGTGGAAATGGACGGATGCGTAACATTACCAGTTGATACGGGGATGGCAACATCGACGACGAGAATGAGTGATGACTAGTGTGCAGGCCAACAGGATGGCTTGCTGGAGGAGGTTCTAAGCTCCTTTCTAAATGAAGTTGAGGGTAGTCTGAAGAATGCAATGAGTAACCATGTGACAGTAACGTCGCATCAAGATCTGGTGATTGGGGATACTTTGGGCACTAATGGTAATGTGCACACAGTTGTGGCAGAAGTCCATGAGGAGGAAAAGAAAGATGAAGAGGTGTGTGGGAAAGGAAGTTCCCGTAAGAGAACAGCAGGAACGTCGGAGATGGACGATGTTCTCACTCCAGGTCAATGATCTGGAGTAAAGTCTTGGAAAAAGGAAGTAAACCACATGGGGGGTGAGGGGAAGGGTACAGAAAGGATGAACAGTTCTAGGGAAAAAGGGGGGATAGGGGGGTAAACAAGCAAGCTGTCAAAAAAGAATCTATTCAGCAGGACAGTATAGTTCGACATGTACCGAGGCGGAGGGGTAAACCGCCGATTTTAAAATAATTCACAGTAGTAACTATTAATGTAAATGGATTGAGAAATGAAGTGAAACGTGTTTGCATGGAATGGTTCTTACGGAGGTATAATGTGGATGTCTGTTTTATACAAGAGCATAATTATAAGGTAGGCTGTGCATTGGTACTAAAAGGTCATAAATTGTATGTAAGTTCAATTCAATTCAATTCAATTCAAAGTTTATTCTCTATAAGGATTACAATGCTGAGTTTACAGAACATGGTTATTGTGTGGTTTACATGTAGTAAAATAATAATTACAGAGTGTACCACTAGAACACCTAGCATGGCTAGGCATTTCGGGCAGACTTAAATTAAACCTTAAGTTTAAAATATTACAAAATTATGAGGTAAGTTGGTATTATGGCTAAGTGACTAAATACTAGTTTGTGAGTTTAGCAATGTGAGTGCTTTTGTTTTGGCACTATATATAGTTTCAGTATTGGAGTATCACTGGCCAACTTATGACTAGTTAAGATTCATTATTTTGAGATTGAGATTGATATTTCTGTTTATGGTCAAATGGGTGAGTGAGTGTAAGTGTTAACCACCAGGTGGTATTCGTGAATTAGTTGACAGGGTGTATCAGGGAGATAAGATGTTTTCTGATGGTAGTTTTGAAGGTGATGAATGTGTCTGCAGTTTAGAATTTTCAGGTAGGGTGTTCCAGATTTTAGGGCCTTTGACATACATTAGAATTTTTGTAAAGGTTTAATTGGACACGGGGAATGTCATAGAGATGTTTGTGTCTGGTGTTGTGCCTGTGGGTTCTGTCACAACTATCAAGAAAGCGTTTTAGGTCAAGGTTAATATTGGAATTTAAGGTCCTGTAGATGTAGATTGCACAGTGT